AAATCTTTTCATTCTTTTCTACTCTCATTATCCTCTAGTGTCTTAGTGGCTTTATTTCCTTCCTTGGTGTCAGTTGCTTAACAAACACACACATATATATTAATCAATTTAGCAATGATATATATATATATATATATATATATATATATATATATATATATATATATATATATACAACATATATATATATATATATATATATATATATATATATATATATATATATATATATATATATATATATATGGGGGAGAGAGAGAGAGTGAGAGAGCGAAAGAAGCAGAGAAATTTAAAGAATATAAGGAGTGAGTATAAAGTGAAAAACACCGACAACAAGGACAAATAACCACGGCATTCTACAGGGACGGATAGACGGTGGCTTGGCGCGAAAGCATACACGCACGCACACATACACTTACAAAAAACTTACACTAATGAAAAGTGCATATTAAGAAGAAAAATCGAGGATAAGTATAAGCAGTCATTTGCTGATACCCGCTGACGAATGGACGTAGTGATTCCTGGAGCGTCCGTCTAAAAAACTCTGGAGTTGGAATGATTAAAGATAATATCAATCATCTGTGATAAAACTTTTACTTATATTAATTCTGTCTGTCTGTTCCTCCCCAATCTCTCTCTCTCTCTTTAATGACTTTCACGGTAAGGTAGTCGCTGAAACCTTCTGACGAGTTGACCGAATGATTAAAAAAGGTTTGTCTACGAATCTTCAGAGTCGGGGTGTAGAATATAACATAAATTAGCTAAGTGAAAAATGTTACATTTTTTTTTCTTATATATATATATATATATATATATATATATATATATATATATATATATATATATATATATGTGTGTGTCTCTCTCTCTCTCTCTGTGTATGTGTGTGTGTGCATGTATATGTATGTGTGTGTGCATGTATATGTACGTGTGTGTAATATCTTTCTGATTGTGTAAACATGTGTATTTTGAATATCACCATATATCTTTTTGTTAACCAAACTCATTTCCATTTGCCAGCCGCCAGTCAATTTCATCTTTCATTTTTCGACACTACCAACTTTCCGCCAATTTAGACGCAGTTGTCGACAGCAACTTCATGATATAAAGAAAGACGCCCAAAATAGAGAAGCATTTAACGTAGAATCGTCTGCCTGTAACGATTTCTCAACTGGATGGAGAATAATTTGATTGCCAAATGTTGGGATTGTCAAAAATTATATTTCAAGAACATTTAAATGCTGTTTACTGCTTTAATACGAATTCGCGGTGTATTTCATTTGAGTATGAAATAAGCGAAAATATTGAAGAGGCCTTTTTGAATTGGAGAAAACAGACTTTTTTTAAGGGAAAATTATGATTTGACTTTGAAAGTATAAATATAAATAAAAAAAATATTATGCAATTTAAAAAAAAATAAAAACGAAATTGCCTTGGTTAAAATTCAGTGAACGCTTAATGCAATAAATCGGATGTAAATAGAATTCTTTTACATCATGTTACATTTTTCTTCTCAATATATATATGCATATATATATATATATATATATATATACAGACACACAGATAAGTGCTCATACATAGACCATTCCTGCATTTCATACATATATACACGTGAAATCAAACACACATAATACGCACACTCGATATATATATATATATATATATATATATATATATATAAATATATATATATAATGTCATCGAGTGAACTGAAATGAAATTTATATACTTGCAATTACAACAAAAGATCACAATGTATTGAAATCGTTTTGCATAAAAGAAATAAAAATATTCAGTCATATATGAAGATATAGACATGTGTATATATATGCTTATATATATATATATATATGCATTTATATATATATATATATATATATATATATATATATATTTATACATATATTCACGTAACTGTTCTTATAACGTAATATATATATATATATTTATAGAGAGAGAGAGAGAGAAAAGAGAGAGAGAGAGATATAAAAGATAGATAAAGAAACAAAGACAAACAGAAAAAAAAAGAATTTTGTCTATGATTTTTTTTTGTTTAGACAAAATCACCTCAGCGGAAGCAAAGATAAATATTTAGAAATAATATATTTTAATAAAATAATATCCCAAAAATGTCTTTGAAAGAAAAAATTATATATTTTCATATAATGAAAAATAAACTTTAATAGGAATAAAATAAAAATTATTTATATATGCACAACTTCACGTGACTGTCTCTTTTCTCTCTCTCTCTCTCTCTCTCTCTCTATATATATATATATATATATATATATATATATATATTAATGGGGGCTAAAATCAATATGTAAGTAAAAAGGGGGAGCGTGAACTTTAGGGTATAAACGTATTGAACTTATGAAGTATATGTGAGATTTGATGCCAGTAAAACCTTTTCAGGTAGACGCATAGAGTATTATCTGCCCTTATAAGCGTGTTTTTCATATTCATCATGAGATTTTGCTCAACGCCAAGAATTAAAAAAAACTGCGCAAATTCTGGAGGAGATTTCACTGAAATTTTACAAGAAAGTAAACATGAAATTTAGAACTGGCAAACATTTGTAAACATAATTATATATATATATATATATATATATGAGTGTGTGTGTTTGTTTGTGTGAGTGTGTGCAGATATGTAGAAAAATAGGAAAGAACACGTTAGGTAAATAATCCGGAGTTCTTTAGTATTTTTGTTTTTATTTAAAAAAAAACAAAAAAGAAAAACAAAAAAAAAAAAAAAACAGTGCTCCATACAGAAGTAGAGCTCACAGTATAATTATTTAAAAAAAAAAAATTCGCTGTAACTGACCAGACGATGTGGGCACATGAATGCCATCATTCGCTTTGAAATGAATACCCCGACCCTCGGCTTGACCTCTTCCCAAAGGTGACTGATATGTGGATAAAAATTAACTCTTAGGCCCGTTATCAAAACAGTCACCCCAGCCGTTTCCACAGTAATTAATCTTGCGAATGAACATGCTTATAAAGATGCGTAAATCTCAAGATTGGTTTTCGCTTGAGGAGGAAACAGGGCTTGATACTTTAACTCAATTTAATTTTAATAATTATATTGTGGTTTTCGGCTCTCGTTTTTGAAACATGAGAACTCTTATGTAGCGAAGGAATCATATTTTTTAAAAATAGTTATATATATATATAATTATATTATGATTAATATATATATACATACATATATATATATATATATATATATATATATATATATTAGTATATGTATATATAATATATATAATTATATTTATATATCTCTATATTATTTATATATATATATTAATATATGTATATATATATATATATATATAATTATGTTTATATTATGTATTATATATATATTAATATATATATATATATATATATATATATATATATATATATATATATATATATATATATATATATATATATATATATCAAAAAACCGAGGAACATTATAAACAGGACGATAGGCGAAACTATCTATTTCCATTGAGAAAAAATAACGTATTAATATTAAATAAATTTGGTTTTCATTTAACATCCTGAAAATATTTTTTTCGAACAATAAAAATTGACTATGGAATATACGGTAATATCAGTGCCAAGAGAAAAATTATTTTTTTTTTTTTTGCGAATACGAATGTTAATCTTTACCACGAATTATTATGAGAGAAAGAAATTTGATGCTTTTGATGCAAAATTAACAGAAACTGAATGAAAGATATCGTCATTGACTCATTCCACTTTTCTAAAACGATGCTGTCAGGGTTAATATTATATAGGAATAAAGTATCGCTGCCGACACTTGAGTTTGAACATAGATCACCAGTGAGCAAACAGAAGCGATCCCATTATTGAATTAAGTAGACCACGTGACCATAGAGGAAACGTATATATGGAAGGTAGCGTGTCTTTAATTGATCGCATTTTCTAGTCTATCCTCTATACTATACGGATCGTTATTTCTATTCTATCCTCTATTACTATATGGATCGCTATTCTCTACTCCATCCACTATACTATATCTCTATACTATTCACTATTTCTACATTATTTCTCTATACAGATCATTATACGGATTACTATTCGGTGCTTACTTTCGAGCGAGTATTATCGAACAAGTACTATTAGTGCGAGTGATATTCGAAGGCGTCTGACACCAGTATTGTTCAACGGCGTTACTATAGTTGTGTCTGCGATTACAAAATCTCTACTACAACGAGCAGTACAAAATTGACAACGAGTATTCGTTGGCATTACAAAAGTGGCAATGAATATTTGTTGACATCACAAAAGTTAAGTAAAGGAGCGCTAAACCAAACAAAAGAATTACGTTATAATCAGTATTTGGCAATATGTCAAATATCCCTATCAATACTAATGGATCTATAATTCTGAAACGGAAGTTGTTCGGTGGTGCCAAACACATTCTTTGAAATGGCGCGCCATAGACACCTATCGGAAATTGCTAAGATAAGTCAAATCAAATTCAATGGTAATTCGAAAGAAGATCTAAAAATAATTTCAACGCAGCTGCATAATCTTCCTCGGTCTTTTGAACAGGAGTAGAGGTTTATCCCTTATTTCCACATAAACTCCGAAAATAGTTTACAATGAGCAATACAATAAAGTGTTAAGATTTCGTAAGGCACAGAAAGCATTGAAAAAAAAAAAAGGTTTATTTGTGAGAATTTACTGAAAAGGGGAATCCTCCTCACTTTGTATGGAGAGTATAGAGTCATAGCTTTAGCACGCTGTAGTTTCACAATTTCACCATTACTGTAGTTTCCGTGGCAAGTAGACTTCCTATACTGGTTGCCAGCCAAGGTTAATGCCCCCCCCTCCAGTCTGGCCTGCTTTTTAATTTAGGGAGGAGAAACGGATTCATATTATTCTAAATGATTTTTGAGGGGGTGCAGGTCAACATAACGATTGTGGGAGGGGGCGCAGATATCAACATAAACGACTTGGAGGCAGAGATCAACATGACAACCTTTTGTGGGGGACAGATGTCAACATAACAACTTGGGTGGTAGGACAGATATCAACATAACGCCCTTTGGGGGGGGCGAGGCAGATATCAACATAACGCCCTTTGGGGGGGGCGAGGCAGATATCAACATAACGCCCTTTGGGGGCGAGGCAGATATCAACATAACGCCCTTGGGGGGCGAGGCAGATATCAACATAACGCCCTTTGGGGGGCGAGGCAGATATCAACATAACGACCTTTGGGGGCGAGGCAGATATCAACATAACGCCCTTTGGGGGGGCGAGGCAGATATCAACATAACGCCCTTTGGGGGGCGAGGCAGATATCAACATAACGCCCTTTGGGGGCGAGGCAGATATCAACATAACGCCCTTTGGGGGGGCGAGGCAGATATCAACATAACGCCCTTTGGGGGGGGCGAGGCAGATATCAACATAACGCCCTTTGGGGGGCGAGGCAGATATCAACATAACGCCCTTTGGGGGGGGCGAGGCAGATATCAACATAACGACTTTTCTCCTCTTCTTCTCTGTATGCTGTTCCTTTCTTTATCATTTTCTTCCTTTACTTTTCTACTATAAACCTTTTGTTCTTCCGTTTTCATTAAACTCGCTATTCCCCACCCCTCGTTTCTTTCACCTCACTTTTTCCTCATACACCTCGCCCCTTTTTCTTCCTCTTTTCTTATCTTAATTTTCTTCCATCTTTTCTTTTTATCTTTATTTCTTTCTTGCACTTAATTTTCATTTATCCCTTTACACTCTTTTTCTTTCTGCTTCTCTCTCTTTGTTGTTCTCTTTTCCTCTCACTCGCCCTTTCCCCCGGCATATATTTTCCTTCTTTCTCTTTCTACATCCTTTTTTCTTCCTCTTTCATTTTTTTCCAAATTTTTTTAACTCGCTCCTTTTCATGCTATTTCCCTTACCTTTTACTTCCATTTTCTCCTGTTTCCTCTTTTATTTCTTTCCCTCTGCTGTTTCCTCTCTACTTTTTCCTTTCTTTTCTTGCGTTTGGCATCTCTCTCTCTCTTTCTATATATATATATTAATTACTCTTCATCCCCGCTTTCTTTTTCATTATACTTTTATACAGGCTCATCATATTCACGTCTGCGTAACAATATGGCGGAAAACAAACGAACTGTAAGCTAAATGAAACAAAAATGTCCAGCGTTAAATTAAGGAGAAAAAATGTCGGAATATTGAATAAATCTCGAATCTAACTTCAAGAGAAGAATACAGATCGAGCGAAATAGAGAGTGAATTGCAAAAATATTAAAACAAAAGTATCAACTGAAAAAAAAAAAAATTAAAATTAAACAATCAAAATGTCAACAAATAAAAACACGTTCTCAACAGGAATTTTAAAAATAAAATAAAAGGTTAATTTTTCTTTTTGCATCCAATTTCTTTCACAAAAAATCTTTTTACTATTATTATAATTTTTTATATATATATATATATATATATATATATATATATATATATATATATATATATTTATAACACACACACACACACACACACACATATATATATATATATTCGTCACATTGAGAGTTGGGAGATTCAATCAACAAGAACTGTTTAGTTTTCGATGTTGTTTAGCGTTGATAATTCTAAAAGACTGACCGCTTAAGAGGGTGGGTTTTTTATTGCCGTTGAAAATGTCTAATAATTTCATTGCGAATTTGATAACTTGTTAACTTCAGCGAAAAAGTATAGGCTTTTGTAGAAGTTCAAGGATGGAGATTACTTGGAGGAAAATGAAGATTCTATAGCTTCATATCCAGAATGTGAGGATCTAGACCCAAAATTTGAAATTCTCTATGAGAAGAAAGAAGCAACCAAATTTTTAAGATATTTATAAACGAAAATGATTTTAGTTAAAAATATTTTCTGCGCTTACAGTTCTTGAAATTAGGATTTGGAAAAGCAATAAAGTCTTTTTTATCGAAAGAAAGATAATATATATATATACCATAGTAATGAAACTCAATCTAGTAACCCTAACTGCAATTGTAGGAATAAAGACAATTGTCCAATCGGGGGTAAATGTATGTATGAAAATGTAGTATACGAGACAACAATTTTCCCCGAGGAAAATATAAACCAGAAAAAAAGATATATAGGTATATCCGCGGGTGATTGGAAGAAGCGTCTATACAACCATAGACGCTCTTTTAGATATAGATACCTCAAAAATCAAACTTCCTTATCTAAACACTACTGAGATCTGGTGGATAAGGAGCTAACCCCACTTTTCGAATGGAGATACTTATCAAGAGCTAGTACCCCTAATAACTTCCGTGATCGGTGTGATCTGTGCATTGCGGAAAAAAAAATTATTTTTAAAAATAAGAATCAAGATGAGTTCCTAAATCTTCGTAGTGAGATCTTTTCTAAATGTAGACATAAAAAACGATTCAAAACATAAACACGGTTTTATAACGTGTTGTCGCTTGTGACAATTCCATCTTGGACCAGTAACACCGGACATGATATTTAAATGAATGACTATTATGATTATCTATATGTATCATTGTGTATGTTTAAGTGATGAGCTATTTATTTATTTATTTACATTCTTTTTTCTTTTTTTCTTTTTAATTTGGGTTAACAAAATTTATTCATGTGTTAATATATGTGTATGTGGGTATGTAGGTAGAAGTTTTCCCTAATAACTGATATGTGAAATCAGATATTGTTTATATACCTAGATATATATGTAAACGTAAGAAATAGATACGCGTTAATCACTCCGCGGGTGTTTTTTATTTTTAGTATTCTTAACGTTTTCTTCCTCAATGTTCTTGAAATATAAATTAATTTAATCCCACCCGTATATTTCTATATGGTAAATGTATATATGGATGGATATGGTTCCTTAATATTTTAATTAATTTTTTTGATTTTTAAAAATATTTTTAGCTTTTACCTTTTGATTTATACATAGATATGTATGTGTGTGTGTATGTGTGTCTATATATATATATATATATATATATATATATATATATATATATATATATATATATATATGTGTGTAGATATAGTACCGCATATAATATATAAATAATTATATATATATATATTTATTTATATTTATATACACTTTTTTATATATATATATATATATATATATATATATATATATATATATATATATATATATATGTATGTATGTATATATATATGTATATGTAGGTAGATGTGTATGTAGATATATTTATGTGTGTGTGCATGTTTAGGTATGTATGTATACATATGTATATATATACGGGTGTATAGGTATGTATGTATGTATAGTTAGACGGATATATTGAGGGATTCGTTGTTTATTTGTTTGGATGGGTGTAGGTATTTAATTGTATGGAGATGTGTAAGGTTTTATGTATATATATTTATGTGCACGTATGTGTATGTCCGTATGTATATGTGTATAAATGTGTATATATATAGGAGTTGATGTGTATGCATGTATATATATATATATATATATATATATATATATATATGTGTACACGCCTATATGTGTAAATATAGATATGTTGTTGTGTATGTCGGTATACGTACGTGTTTTTGAACATAGAAATAATAGGTCCGTACTAGTTTAAATAAATTGCTATATTTATGTTTATATTAGATTTGTAACTTGTAGTCGATATCATTTCTTGATTGCACATCGGCCGTTTTATAAATGCCCTTCGGTTTTAGCTGTCCACCCCGTATCTTCATCAACCCCCCCTTTTTTCCTCTCCCTCTCTCAGCTTCCGATCTTTAAGTGTATCGTCTATTGTGTGAGTGTGTCCCCACAAAATGTCTACTCTTTTCCGGTGTCTATCTTTAATTTATTTTAGGTCAGCGATTCAGAAATATATTAGACATCAGAGAATATTCATATTTATTTGTATCTGATTCCCCTCTTTAAAACTTCTCTCTGTTAAATATTAATCCCCACCCTCACCTTTAGACCTTCCTGTTCTTCTCTCGTCTCTTACCCCTCCCTATAGCTTTCATTTACCTCTCGCATTCGTCCCACACTCTCATACATACACTCTCACTAAATTTTATTAGTTATTTTTTTCTGATTTCTTTTTGAATTTGTAGGACTGAAAATTGGATCGTATTTATGATTCCAATGTAATAAATTATGACCATGGAGTACTAGTGTTTAAGACTTTTTTTTTATATATATATATATATATATATATATATATATATATATATATATATATTACATACAAATAACAGATATAGAAGTTAATGATTTAAATGTCGAGAATATATCTTCGCAAACAATTTTAATAAAGTACATTAACCCCGAACCTTTATATGAATGTTATGATCCCTGTTTATAAATTCCAGTTGCATAAGGTCTTTTTTTTAGTTTTTTTACAACCTTTCGTGTGTTCCTACGGATATCTTCAGGTATGGAAATATATTTGTTTTTGTTTTTTACTTCTCGGTAATAACAGGACAATGAAAATATAGATGTAATCCGAAAAATGTTTTTAGAAATGTGTTATTGTTAATTGTAAGAAATTTTGGGGGAGCGTGAGGTCGCAACGCTTAGGTTGAATTTTAAAATTTTAAGATTGTGCGTTTTTGTACTAATATGGTAATAGGAGAATTCTCGCCATTTAAATCATTAACTTCTATATCTGTTTTTGAATGAATGATTCATGTAATGTAAATTGAACTGCACTGCATACTTGATATATATATATATATATATATATATATATATATATATATATATATATATATATATATATATTACTATGATTATTATTATAAAAGCATGTAACCCAGGGTCACAAACTCATATTCATATAACTGAATACATGCATATATATATATATATATATATATATATATATATATATATATAATCACCGCATGGTAGTGTGGGAGGGTTCAAGGGAAGGAGAGCTCTGGCTTTTCTTTGTGTTCTATTCGTCTCTTTTATTTGTCTTCTGGTGTTTTCGAAGAATGTTGTTTTCAAGTGGGCTGCTCTTCTCCAATAGGCTCTTTCTGCAACTTCCGTCTCCCAGTTGACAGGATGGATTTCTTGCGTCAGTATGGTGTTTTTGAGCCGATCCATAAATCTATGACGTGGGACTCGACGTGTTCTTTTTGTCTGATGCGAGCTCTGGGGAAAGGATATTTTTGTATAGGCAGATGTCTGGCATTCGGGCAAGGTATCCGGCCCATCGAGGTTTGTACCGATTTTGATCTTCCAATTGGTTCTTGATAATATATTTATATATATATATATATATATATATATATATATATATATATATATATATATAATTATTTTTTAAAAATATGATTCCATCGCGGCACAGAAATTACTTTTAGTTTCTAAACTGATCAGCCGTATTCAAGTTTATATTCGATATTAACTGTTGGATGACACTTGCTTCCTCAAGCTTTGATTAAACTTAAATATAGGTGACCAGTTTCGAAACATAATAATTTCGGTATCACCTGGAATCATA